TGCCCTACATTTTTGTTCTCTGAAAATAGTATTGAGTACTCTTGTAATTAGGTCATTCTTTTGGCAAATATCATTTTTGACAAAAATTAAATATATATATATATATATATATGTGTGTGTGTGTGTGTATAGTGTATTTAGGCAGCAATCCTTCATTTATTCATGTTTCATTAAAAACAAAAGATGAGGTACTACAGTTAAGCTTTTTATTTTAGTTTTTTTTCTGAGTGCTTTCGACTATAGTTTTAAAAGTAAGCCGAAAGCGCTCAGAATTATAGAACATTTGGACAGCTTCTACACACTCAGTGTTCAATAAAGAAAGCACTGTTCGAACACAAGCAAAAATTAAATAAAAAGCTTAATCATAGTACCTTGTCTGTAAAGACACAAGGAAAACTTATTTAAGCAAGCACATTTTGTCCTCTGAGGAACTTTGAGGGAAATGCAAAGATTTTATTTTATAACAAGTATTTATATACAAGAGCAAAAATGTTTTTTTTTTTTTTTTTTTTAAATTTTTAATGCTCATAAACATTCATCAGGAAAAGTTTAGGTAAGTTATGGAGGATGCCAAGTGACAATTCAATGTCTAATAAACAAAAGTGAGTAAATGATGTTCTTTAAATAATATGTATGTATGTATGTATGTATGTATGTATGTATGTATGTTAGTTAGTTAGTTACAGCCCATTAACATTTAAAAAAAAAAAAATATTTTAAAGTGGTTAATGTTCTTAGGTTTTCTTCTATTTTTTTCTCTTCTTTCCAGAATTCTTGGAATGTTTGTTTTATTTGAAGGATTCTTCATAGGTTTTCGATATTTTTAATTCATATTGAAAGCAAACCAGAGACGTACATTGATTAATATTATGTTCTATTAATGTAACACATGTTAATCCTGATGTGATCACAGGAATTCTAATTGCTTTTTATGAAACGTGAAAGAAAGATAGCAAGGTGAAATATTCTCTCGGATCATTTAGAGAGAACTCAAAAATGTGCTTATTATATAATGGTAACATGGAAGTAATGTAAATTGGAATTATTTAGATGAAAAATTGTTAGTCATTTTTTATTAGAATTCTTTTATTTGCTGCTTTTTATTGCAGCTCTTTGGTAGGTGCGGAAAGTGAATTGCATTTATCGTGTTCAATTTCTGTTTGATTCCGTTTCACTTCATGTTAATGCTCTTGGAAAAGGCATGACTCCATCTTCCAACTGTGGATTAAATAGCAGAACAGACTTGGCTCTTTTGCCTTGAAATGATCACCAGAGAAGGAAAACTCTGAATTCAAAGCCAGCCTGAAAATGGTTGGGTTTCATCAGACTATTTTGCCCTAGACTCACCACTGTTGCAATGGCTGCAGTAAATGTGGTTCCTCTACAACCCTAAGGGATTACTACACACACACATACACACTGCAAGTGACAGAGCCTCATTTTACAATCTTTATAAGCAGCACAGACCAATTGAAAAAAAATAAAATGCAATTGTCTTTTCTTCATTTAAGAGAAAACAGGAAATGGAAACATAAATTGCTAAATAAAAATGTAAAATTTATGGTAGGGTTTATGTGCAGAAAAAATCCACTTACCTTCAAAAAGGCTGAGGAAGTACACTTGCCAATGCCATTAGCTCCATGATACAAAAAAAAAACCCAGGATAGAATCATTTTGCCATTTATAAGAGAAAATGGTTGATGGAATGGCTTTGGATGTGCTACCTACGGGGTTGATGGAATGGCTTTGGATGTGCTACCTACGGGGTTGATGGAATGGCTTTGGATGTGCTAAGTACAGATTAGTGTACTTATCTTCAAGTGTATATAAAGTTAGTGGTAGTGAGCAGGAGGAATAGAGAAAGCCATTATGAGTGAGAGTGGATTTTTGCAGCTGTTTGGATGTATGACTCTTTGAATTTGTGACTGTTGTGAATTAAATTTTTTAAACATTTAAGTGCCAAATCTTTGAGTATTTCTGCTACGTCTGATCTCATACTCCGGCTAGATATTTAGAGATCCTTGATAAAATCCAAAGAATTGCAATGTTATTGGTCCTGACCTGGCATCCTGGCTCTACTTTCCCATTACCATAGTGTAACTTCCTTGTGGCTTTTCTATAAAGAAAAGGCACAGGGAAGTACTTTCAGGAAAATTATGCTGAAGGACTTTCTTCTTTGGTACCTAGACTTTATGAATTTAGTACTAGATTGGCAACTAGGTCTCATCATTTTACAGTTGAAATGGCAAGATGTAACCATAAATTCTATATTAAGTCTTCTTAGTCTTACCACATCAGTAAAACAAATTCCTGTTTCAGTCGTTAAGACCATTGTAGCCTGAAGTGTATGATTTGTATGAAGTGACTGCAGTCCAGGTTCATTAGATCTTTGGGCACTCTGTATTACAGAGAAATATCCTGTAAAGTGAATGGCCATGGTTAAATCTATATAAAAGACAGAGCTGCCCAACAAACAGAATTGACAAAGTTTGAAATAATCAAGAAAAAAAGGAAGAGAACAGGTCAAAAAATAATATAATGCAAGCAAACAATATGTACAAGGCAAAGCAACAGTAATATGGCAAAAAAAAAAATTCACAGACTGGAATTGAGTCAGATGAAACTGACAAGTGGCTTGCTTATCTTATTGTCCAGGAAGAAATCCCAGCATGCAATTGTTTGAAATTCTGCCTATAAATTGAGGAGGGGGAAGTATTTTGCAGTCATTCCAAATTGGAGCCAAGAAATATGCAAGTGTTTGTTTATATATGTAGATTGATATAAGAATGTGTTCTGAAAAAAAATACTGAATTTCCTGTTAAAAATGCTGTAAAAACAGAAAAACGGCTCTAGCTGAAAAACCCATTGTGTAATTTTAATGAAATTTGGCACTTTCATTTAATCATGGCCGCTCACACTACAGTAATGTTCCAATTATTTCCCTTACTGACTAACTCTCTATAAAAGGAAGTAACGAGTGGTAAAAAGGGAGTACCATTATCTGTATATATGTATGGCAAATTAACAGTAATAAGGCAAAAAGTTTACAAACTAGGGATTGATACACAAGCAAGTTCGGATAAGCATTCTAACATCAAGACAAGACAAACTGGGACTATCTTATTGGCTAGGAAGAAATCCCAGTCTGCATTTGTGTGCTTCTGCCTATAAATTGGGAAGAGGAAAGTATTCTGAAGTCATTCTCTATTGTAATTGGTACTAACAATAAATGAGGGATTTTGTTTAATACCAAAGTAATTTAAAAATATACTCAGGTTAGGTATAATGTAGGCTGATTGCTCATTTAATAATTTCCTATCATCCAAAGTAAAGAATGAATCTTTTCATTTGTCATTATCAAAAGTAGGTCATCATGCAACATGCTGCAAATAATTTGTATAATTAAAAACAAAAAGAACAAATAAATCCACATAAAAGTAAAAAGTTAATTGTTGACAAACCTTCTAAAAATACAAATAAAAATAACATTGTTGCTAATAATAAAGAACCAGGCAAAGAAAAATTTACTGCCAGAATTTTTTCATTTTATTTTTTTTCACCAGAATCTATCTTACATATTTATAAGTTGACCATTAACCCATGCATTTAATATTGCTGCCACATCTGGTTTTGTATTCTTGGTTCTGACCTGGCATCTTGTCTTCAGTCTCTTTCCCACTGCTGTAATGTGGCTTCTCTGTGCCTTTTTATATAAATATTTTCATGATAATTGTTTTGATAACCTTTCCTCTACAGTACCTACCTAGACTTTTATGAATTTAAATACAGTACAAGTTGCAATGCTGAGATGTAAATGTAAGTTCTGTGGTAAGTTTCTTTTCTCACACTTCCCTCTTGTGGAACTCTCTGGCTTCTTGCTTTCCAGCCAACTTTGATCTTTAAAAAATTAATTGCAATGTCAATTATCTACTGTCTTCTTGATTCTTTTTTTATTGTTTTCACTCCTTAATAGTGTCATTCATTTTCTTATTCTTTCACACTCTGTCACCCCTTGTGAATTAGTGGTATTATTGCTTTGCTTGGCGTGAAATGATTAATAAAAATATTCTTTAGAATTTTATTTGTGTTAATATTTGGTCTGGCAAACCAGTATATTTTTCTTGAAAAATATATTTGATATTTTTGTCATAATTCCTGTTCTTTTTATTGTTCTCTCTCCTTAACATATGGCAAAATAGATTTTTTTTTAATTTGCCTAGATATTTTTGAAATTATTTGTTGTTAATGGAAATGGTCTTTGTTTTTTGTTTTTGTTTTCTATCTCTCTCTCTCTCTATGTGGGTGTGCATGTTTGCCTCTCTGTTCTCATTCCCTAAATGAACAATGTTACATAAAACTGTATATAAAATAAAACGATCATACATACTTTTCTTTAGTCATGTCGAGATTTTTGGAATTGGTGCTGTAGATGTAATATACACTGTAATTTACTTTGTACCCATAACGGAGGCTTAATAAAATCTGCAATGCATATAAAAAGACACTTTAAATGTTTACTTATTTATTATTGGCTAAAATCCGAAAAGCCAACAAGGTATGAAAAGAAAAAACAGTTTGCACCCTTATTAAAACAAAATTTACATAAAAACATAATCTAAAAAGTATGCAAATTTTATATTGTTGATAATCATAGAATGAAAAATGTCTTTTCAAATGAATATCTATCTGAAAAGTTTAACCTGTAAGCATGCAGCCATATACTAAAATTGTTCTTCCAAAAATGACTTTTTTTTCCCCACCAGAAGTATCCCTGAGAGCAATTGTATACGTTAAGCAAGTAACCATGGCAACAACAACAACACATTAAGCAACTCAAAATATTAAGACTGGTGTCTCTCTAACATACACACTGATTTCAAGTAGGATTTGTTATCTATGATGAAAGTTATTTTTAAAAATAACTAAAATCAGCAACATTATTCCTTTTCAGCTAACTTTAGAGCTAATAAGGTTAACATGTACCAAGTAACTTGAATTCAATGAATGTTTATCTTTGTTCAGAAAAATTAAATTCTTCCTTTCTCATTCAATTATCTAACACAAAGTTCACTTTCTCTCCCTCCCTCCCTCCCTCCCTCCCTCCGTCTCTCCCTCCCTCCCTCCCTCCATCTCTCCCTCCCTCCCTCCCTCCATCTCTCCCTCCCTCCCTCCCTCCATCTCTCCCTCCCTCCCTCCCTCCATCTCTCCATCCTCCCTCCCTCTCTCCCTCCCTCCTCCCTCCTCCCTCCCTCATCCCTCCCCTCCCTCCATCTCCCTCCCTCCATCTCCCTCCCTCCCTCCCTCTATCTCTCCTTCCTTTTCATTCCTCCCTCCCCTCCCTCTATCTCCTTCCTTTTCATTCCCTCCCTCCCCTTCCTCTATCTCTCTTTCCTTTTCATTCCTCCCTCCCCCTCCATCTCTCCTTCATTCCTCCCCCTCCCTTCCTCTATCTCTCTCTTCCTTTTCATTCCTCCCTCTCCTTCCCTCTATCTCTCTCTTCCTTTTCATTCCTCCCTCTCCCTTCCTCTATCTCTCTTCCTTTTCATTCCTCCCTCTCCTTCCTCTATCTCTCTCTTTTCATTCCTTTTCTTTCCCCTTTTCTTTTTTCTTTTTTTCTCTCTCTTGGGATTCTTTATTTTGCTTATTTTGTTTATTGTTTTAGAATTTTAATAACAAAAATGTTAAACACTATTTAGTTGTTAGATTGTTTATTTTATATTTACAAGTTTATAAAAAAAAATATGCGAACCAACTACAATGCAATATTTATGAAAATACACCCATGTCTGTGGTAACTTTGCTTTGTAAGTCCCCGTGGGCTATGGTGCTATTCAGAGGAGGTCATATCATCTAGTGGTTTGTGTTTTGATTCCCGGAGAGAAGAAAGAAAGATTATTTACTTTCTTCCGTTCTTGCTGGGCTATGGTGTTCTTTTTGTTGAACTACTGGGTGAATAATACCAACGTAGGAATAGGTGATTCAATGAGCCAGATTATCTTCAATAATAAAGATTTATTAAAAAAAAAAATTAAGAAAAAAAACAAAATACAATGAAAATTGTCCAGTGGAACTAAGTTATTTCAACATGGGTGGCAGGTACTAGAAAGTATAGAAAAAGGGTGTTGATACTTGCCTTTCTTCAATTCAGTCATCCATTGCTAGGAAATTTGTGGGAGAGAAATTACTTTTCAGGTGCGCTTCACTCTACAAGTTAATTGACACAGCCAGCAACAGGAACTGGGCTCAAACTTAACTCACTGTGCATTCCAGTGACTCATCTTTATGAAGGATACTGCTCACGCAACCAGCATGATGAAAGGTCACGACAGAAGTCCAGGGACAGATAAATTCTTTTGTCTGTCCCCAAAATTACATATGAATATGAGCAGATTGGAGCATAGTATGATCTAAGTCATTGAAAATAAGCTAAATTTCCTCTGTTGGAATTTCAGTCGAGCACCACATGATATGTCTCCTGCCCATGTGAATTTGGGTATCACCCGCTCTGACCACTTAGGATTCTCAGTTTCCAATCCTCACAGGAATTTTAGAAATTTATCCTTATTTTCCAAGCCAAAAATTTATTATTTTCTAAGCCAATTTTCAATCTTTGCTTCTTTCCAAAATTATTTATTATATTCAATGTGACATCACCCCCTCTCTCTCTCTCTCTCCTTCTTCACTTTCACTTTATACATGCTTTTAACCCTCCTGTTTTAATAAAATTGCTTTCTTAAAATGATTACATTGTCACATATTTATTTACCATTTTATAAAAATGGATTTTTTTTTATTCATAAATATATAAACATTTACAAAATTATAAAAAAATAATTGAACCAATTATAATGAACTTGTTTTTAATTTCCATTATATAAATATATGTTTCCAATTTTACATTCCAAACGAATCTGCTAATAGAAGACAATGATCCTGATTTCCCTCCTAAGGCCAATGTAATGATGATGCTGATGACATAGGTATTCATAGTTGGCATAAGAATGATCTTTAAGAAAAATCAACCTTCTCTATCGAATGTTCCAAGATATAAGACTCCAGATAAATCTTTCCAAAATGGAAACTATGATCTGGAATTGGAATGAACACAATAATGGCACATACCATGAATCCATCATAAGAATTCAGGATGTGGCATTAGTAAATACTAAACATTGCATCTGATCATCAGGATCATCATCCTGTCTCCCTATACCCTTTCTCTCCCCTGGTAGTGGTGGCAGAGATTGCTTTGAATCAAAGGGTTTGATGAAGCCTTTTATGTGAATTTCATTTTGGTGGACCACTATGCATGATGGAGAAATACACTTGGCTAGAAGCACCCCCCTCATGCCTCAAAGGGGCTTGAGACAGGAAAGATGTGGTAAACCTGGTTGCATCAACAACAAATTATCAAATGAAACAAATTTTCACCCAACACCACAAATTACTGCAAAACCTCAACGTGAAAACTCAAGTTATGTTCTTAAATACCCTCACATCAGATCAAGACTTTTACATGAATATCATGTATGGTGACAAATCTATTGAAAAATCTAAAATGTCAACTGTATACAACTGCTTTCTTTAATCACTGGTTCAAAATGAGAGATTGAAGACTCTGGCTTATGCCAAAGACCATCCTTCTTTGGACCTTGTGGACTGGTTCGATAGAATCACAAAAGAACTGTACCAAATAGCAGAATCCTCATATCTTGAGGACTTTCAACTGTAGCAACAATGAAATTGAATAGCACCTGTAACTTGAAGATAAAAGGACATAATCAAGATGTTTATAATCAATACTGCTTCAAACAAAAGGTTAGAAAGGAAGTTCCTATTCATTCTGGAAATTAATTATTGCTCTTATAATAGATACTGGACTTTACAAAACCCATTTTCCTGAAAAATTATTTTAAGAGAAAGATTTCATAAATATTAACTAGCATTAGTGCTGACTGCTTTTGGTCAATGAATACCAAATGAATTCCTTTTAAGGAAATGGTTAATATTGCCATTTTATAAAGAAAAGATTTTTCTTACCTGTATTCATAAATTTACAAAAAATATATGAACAAGCAAATTTAAATAAACACTTAACGAGTTACTGTAATTAACAATTTTGAAAAAAAATACATTTTCCAAGAATTTCTTTCATTTACTCCCACCAAATAAGTTCACTAAAATAAGTTGAGAACATTTCTCTCTGTAAATCAAATGTTCTTTTAATTTTAGCTTTTAGGCACAACAACAGCCACTCAATATTTTGAGTACATACCTCCCTATTCATTGGGTGGACAGTTTTCCTTCTATATAATTACAGAATATCGGTAATTTTTTTCTGTACATTTCTATTGATTAAGCATCTTTGATCATGAACATAAAAAAACAAATTTGGAAAATTTAAACAAGTAATCTGAGATACTAAATAACCTAAGAAGAAAATGTATAATGTCCAGAAAAATTGTTTATTTAAATTTTCTTTTTCTACAGTTCAGACATTTTTTTTTTATAAAAAGATTTTTCATATTTCTTTATAAAATGGTAAATAATAAATACTTCATTGTAGTTGGTTCACATATATTTATAATCTTGTAAATATAAAATTAATCTCTTTAAATAAACAAAATAGGGTATAACATTTTTGTTATTAAAATTCTAAACATAGCTTTTTTTAAGCAAACAAAATTTTTTACTGGTCCAATGGTTAAACTTTGCCAAAAATTCATACATTAAAAAATCCTCTTTATAAACCTTAATTTTTACATTTTTTTTTTTTTTTTTTTTTTTAAATTTGGACAACTTCATTTTAGTCTATTTGATTATACAGGTTATATATATATATATATATATATATATATATATATATATATATATATTGATATATATTATATATTGAAAATATACATACATATGCAAGATATATAAATACCCATACATGTATATTTTAGAAAAAAAAAAATTTCAAAGAGGAAGAATCCAGGTAGAACTCAATGTCTAGGACAGAGTAAGGATATAATAAAAGGCTTAAACACTAATATTCCATGGTCATAATTTATTCCATTGAATCAGAAATATGATCCAATTCATCAGACCTACAAATCCAAAAAAGAAAACAGAAAAAACCCAACTCCGGAAATAAAAACAGAATTTAGAGAAAGTGTAAGTATGAGAAGGAGGGAGATTGAACCTTAATAGAGAGGATTTTAGGAGATATGGGAGGAGGGGTTTAAATAAGAGAAAAGAATGAATGTTGACGGATGTCTAATGCATAAGGATACATTTTGTGGTGACATACACACACCATAGACAATTTAATGTTAGAATAAGAGGGAGGGAAAGAAGAGGTGGGGGAGAGAGATGGGACGAAGGAAAGTAAAATAGCATTTACTTAAAGGGCCGCTTTGTAATTGATAAAATTTGACAAATTTAATATCGACTACAGGTTACAAATCACATATAAATATATGAAGATAAATATAACGATTATCTAATCTGGCAAGGACCTATATTTCGATGTTCAAAAACACATGCGAATACACACAATAACATATACATGTATATACATACACATAGGCGTGTACCCACATACACACATACATACACTCATGTACCAGTACACACATATAAAAATATTCACATATCCACACATACACATATTCATCTATATCCATATACACACACTTTTCACATACATATACACGCATACACATGCACACATGCTCATACCCATATATATATATATATATATATATATATATATATATATATATATATACACACACACACACACACACACACATATATATATATATATATATATAAAAACAAAAAATATACAAAAAATACATACACACACACATACATGCATATATACACACATACATACATCCGCATCCAGTCCTTTTATATATATATATATATATATATATATATATATACACACTTTCCCACATATATACATACAAACATACACATACGTGCACATAAACATATGTACCTAAAACCGTACATATCTATATAATTATTTAAACAAATAGACAATGTATCCCTATATCTATCCATTGAACTATATATACACATATATCCATGTACATATACACCCATATACAAATATATGAGTACATACATACCAAAACATATACACACATCTACATATACGTCCATCCATCTACACATACATACATCCATCCATATACGTATACATAAATATACATATATACATATACATGTACATCCATACATACACATACATATACACACCCCTACATATGTACACATATATACACACATACACACACAGCTAAGTATACACACATATACATATATATCCACACATACACACGCATACACATACAAACACACACACACACACACACACACACACATATATATATATATATATATATATAAGAATACATAGCGCATCACATAAATGTACACAATGATACATATAGAGATAAACATAATAGTCATACCATTAAAATGTCATGCCTGATGTTATTGGACTAAGATGGAACTGACATAAGCGACAACATGTTACAAAACGGTGTTCATGTTTTGAATCGTTTCTTATGTCTACATTTAGAGAATATCTCATTACGAAGATTCGGCAGCTCATCTCGATTCTTATCTTTGATAATGAAGATTT